ATTTAATTATAACATTTGGGACGGCTATTTTCTTTATAAGCCTACTCTACACCTCAGTCTTATTTTCTTAAGCAGTTTTCTCTCGTACACGCTTTTTTTTGAAAATGGAGACACACTGTACTGTGCCTCCATTTTCATTGTAGGAGTTTTTTTAACGGCCTATTTTCTAGTTCACCAAAATAATGGCTAAATATTGCTCTAAAAGGGCAATTACTGCTGACGTTATTACAAATTTGTAAATTTATCTGCGCACACTGTCAATTTCTTTACGAAACCAATTTTGTATAGAGAGTCTTCCTGGCGCTAACAAATATAAATTCCAAAGTAACTGGTTTAGAAAAGTTGATACTTCACCAAATCTACTGCTCGATTGGGATTTTAGGCCTGAATAGAAGCAACAAAAAGAGGTAGGCACTATTAAACTAAGTCTCTTAAGGCCAAATAGGCCCAGCCTACGTTTTTTCGACAGAAGTAACTCCATTTCACTGCGTAGCTTTTTGACTATTAGTTTATAAGAGGGTCTGTTGTAAATCGTATCTTACTTACGATGTGTAACATACTACTCATTCCTGTTGTTATACAGTTGCTTACGCGCAGCTGTGATTACCAACTTTGTATATCTTGTATTTATTTTTACCACAGCGCTGAGTTTGTAATGAAAGGGCCCCTTGGGTCTTGAATACAACATTTATTTATTTGGTGAAGGTTGGTTGATAGTTTGTTGACAGAAAACCTGGAATTGATAGCTTGTTCATTGGTTGTTGTTTGAACATTCAGCCAACCACAGCGATGTTTTTCTGCTACATACACGTGATAACGTTGACGCCGTTGAATCACAAATGCCAAAGATAAGACGACAAGTGCAACAGCTCGCATTATGGATTGTCGTCCGTAACAATTGAAATTTAAGTTAATCCAAGAAGGTGATGGTGTACTGCAGAGATTAGCTCATAACCATAGATCAGTTAAAAAGAAGAGAAATAAGCAGAATAGTATGCAAAAAGAAAGTTTCCAGGAGAATGGAGAGCTAATAAAATTAGCGATTCAACTTCAAATATCCGCTGTGGACGAGGGCTACCAGGCAGCATACTGACTGATAATGAGCCCCAGGAAGTAGAGGATGCATGCAGCGGAATAATTTGTGAGGAAATACGCAGGATTTATGTACGACTAACGGAAGTAAGGAGGGAAAACTGGGAAGGCTGAACTTTTATTCCAATCTCCAAACACATGAAAATTTAAGATTAGTTAGCCGGCATCTGCCATTCAATTCTATCATTCAATGTTGCCAAATGCAACATTATGTATTTCAGTAGAACCAGCATTGCGTACTACCTAAATCACACGCCAATGGACCTGTTTTTAACATAATTTGATAGAAGATTAAAGAAAGAATAAAAAAGCTCGAGATTTTGAGCATAAATACAAATTTAAACGTGTTTATATGTCGATGGATTGTCAGTAATGCGAAGCAAACACAAAGTAAAGACAATAACTTGTAAATATATCATGGACTGAAAATATAATATGGCTCGGGGATTCTCTTAATCAGTATCATTTTTAAGGGGTATGTAGGTAGATTGTCTTTGAGTTCCCTAATGATTAAGGCATACTCATATCATCCAAGAAGTATTCCAGTAAACCAAATGTTATATTCTTATGATGGTGCAATAATAATATTAATTCGGTCACGATTTACAGTTTTCGTTGTTGAGTGATAGTCGGTATCTAGATGAACAGAACTTCTTGACCCATTGTCAAACTACATTTCATTTACCTAGTAACCTGTTAAAGGGATGCTTGATTGTAGACCAATTCAATTCCCGCTTGTTTTACTGACTAAATTGGCAGATGTTTCGTCTCGGATACAGCCTAGAGAAAATTTAATTTCCGAGGACAATGGAGGGGTTACCCTTTCTTCCAGGAAATACCTTTACTGACCCAACTGTACGATCCCTTTTTGCTTATTAAAAAAGAAAACTAATTTCCACTTAAGCCATACTCTTAGCTACAAAAATGGATATAGGGTACCACTTCCATACCCACAAGTGGGAATCGGGGGCGATCCACTCAAAGTGAATATGCTGAATGATGCCGACTTAGATGCTCTCGCGAATTTTCATCCAACGTTAACGTATGGTAGAACCAAGCAGGCACCACCTGCTGAATTCATTCCAGGCCATGTGGCTTTCGACAAGAAAGTTTTGCGGTTCTACGGCTATTTCAAAGAAACGGTGACCGAATCGCCCCACGAACATTACAGAGTTCGACATGTTATCATATATTACTACCTTGAAGATGATAGCATGTGCATATATGAACCTCCGTTAAACAACAGTGGTCTCCCACAAGGTACGCCATAGCCTTTTCATGTAAATTTGTGCGAAAAGTAAATTTGTATTGCTTGTACAGTTATCATGTCGTCACTTTACGCATTTTTATGGGTATTGTAAAAAACAAATGTTTTTAGGGCACCTTAATATATATTTACCTGTGCTTATTTTTACGAACTCAAGTCGTGAGTCACTTGTCCAGCACAGTTAATGCTAAGCGCACGCAGTATCAATCGCACCCTGACTGAGTACTGCGCATTATCTTACAAATATAAGTTAATAACCTAACAAAGACCTCTGTTTTGAATTGATAAACGTGGAGAGGTCCATCCCTGATACGAGCCATCTGCCGTCAGGATAAGCGATCATTTAGGATCCTACGGAATTTCTGGGCATGAAAACCAACATTTTGCAGCCACTTTCACAAGGAAATCCTCTAAAAGTACACAGTCTCAAAAAAACTGGAAATGAACTCAGAAGGAGCCATTCACGTTTTCTGAAATGCTGTAGTAGGGGGTTTAAGAATATAAAAGAATAAATTGCCTTTATAATTGCTTAATACACTGTAAACGGGCTGCTATTAAAAAGACAGACACTCAAGATCCAGGGTAAATGTTTTAATTTTGCTTTATAGCTGTTTGAAATTCATGTAGGAACTGTCTGCAATTTTCGCTGGTAGTGCACAAGTTATTGACGAGAGCATAGTCTATTGTAATTGCACATGCACCTGAACAGCTATATAAAATTTTAGTTTTTGATCAGGTTTTCAGGTCCCTCAGTGTTGGCCTCATTGATGAGAATTTTTAATGTTTACAATGCTGTTATCCAAATTTAAGTCTCAACAGAATTTAGATGACTTCATTTGCATTTAGTATATATGACAACTGCCAATATCCTAATTATGTGGCCGTAGATACCATCGCCAAGAATTTCCTTTATTTTTCAAGCCAAATAGAATCTACCTGATTCTTGACAAATATTATTCTTTACCATGTGTGAACTGTAACAAAACAGGCAAGTGAACCCGTGGATAGTAATCCTCCATCCGATTTCTTTAAAACACAAAATCAGTGCTTTCTGAACGTATAATAAAAGTTAAACGTAGCGTGCATGTTGAACTACGAATACTCTATTCGATACCTTTCTTATGAAGCTGTTTTGGCAAATTATCCTGATAAAGTAGTTGTTCATCAAAATATTCCAAACTGTTTCTTTGCAAAGGTTATATCCTTTGAATAACCGGAATAGAAACGCTTAAAAATAGCTTTTCTTCTCATGATGTTAGCGGCAGGTGTTAACAGAAAATGTATCGGAAATACTCGTAGGCTAGGAAACCTCGGCTAGTTTCTGCTAAGAAATTCCTAAAAATTAAATATACGCATATCAAAAGAGGTTTAACTTTGCTCTATATTCCATGTTAATGCTTTCTATATGTATATATATCCCATATTATAATTAGATAGTGTATTCCAAACTCCTGTCCGATTTTATTACTTTCCTGTGAAGTGAGGTGTCAGGTGGTCACAGCATATGTTCTCGCTGCCTAACGCCAACTTATACTTCAACAGGTACGCTCCTGAGACGCCAGCGTGTACCTAAAAACGATGTTGGTGACCATTACATCTGGAGAGAGCTGAACATCGGACAAAATCTAACTGTTTATGGACGTGTCTATAGGATAATTAACTGTGATGAATTTACTAAGGTAAGTGTGTTTCTGACAGTTCCCAAAGCAAATTTTTCTGATTTAGAAAGTCAGCTGACAGAGCTTTTGCTTATCCAACACCAAAGTTCTCAACCAGTTATGCGGTCAACGTATTTTTTATATTTTAAGATGGTTTCTTTTATAATTAACATTTATTCGATCGGGCAGCAGCACCAGAGCGCATGAATAAACATTTTTGTGTGCACATGTAAAGGATTTCTTAATTTCAAAAAATAAAGTGCAGCTTTTTACGAGCTTGCACGGGTTACCCCAAACAACTGTTAGCACAAATCAGTCAGCAATGTCAGCCTACACTTTCTAGTTTTTCAGTCAAATGAAGCTACACCCTTAAAACGCACTTTAATAATGTTGATAATAGGCCTCTTTCAAACTTAATCGCCGTTCATCATTTGGGCATATCCAGTTTGTGTGGATGCCAAGCGACTTCATAGATCTTGATATAGGTAACGACAATTTTCATCTTATGCCCATTTCGCTTGTTGTAATATCGATCTCTTAGGTAGAACTTCGCAAGTACATGCAGTTCCAATCATATTTAGAGAAAAGAAAGCTTATGCGAATATTTCCCCTATTACTAAATAAAATCAATCATTTTATACGTGCTATTACATCGGATATGACGTGTTATTGTCTGC